CTCATACCCATCGGGCTCGGGGTCTGGCTTAGATACCGCTATACTCGAGTGGCAGAAATCATCATCAAGGTGACTTAATGCAAAAAACCTGATCAGTTGTCTAAAAGTCATTCAAAGCAGTGCCAAAGCTGAGCACATTTACTATTAGGAAAAGGAACCTGAAATATCAGACTAAGTTGATTTGATTTGGAGGAGCCACTAAGTGGATCTTCATCACAAAATAACATGATTTAGATTTATGCTGTCATTTCTGAAATATCACTGGTTGTGATGGGTTGCTTATGTCCACCATCTCTGGCCATTAAAAGGAGACTGAAGTGCCTGGGGCGAGGTGGCGTCACATGCGCACATGGGTTCCTTTCAGTTGAGCTTATCTAAGAACAGCCTGGATATATAATTAAATGCAATATAACTCTATAACCATTATACTGTATATCATGGTGACAAAGGGTCTGCCCCAAGGTTTTGCACAAAAACTAGAGGGAACATCGACTACCAGTCTCATTCTTGCATATCAGCATAAAGAAACTTTAAAGATCTTTTGATCAAAAATCAAAACACTCACTTCATTTGCTTAACTATTGTACTCTTCCCTGATTCCCCAGCACCTAAAAGAGGACAAACAACACAGAACGTTGTTGATGAGGTTGATATTACAAATCGATAAATAAACGTTTATTCGCCTGACCCAAAACATCACACGCTCAGGAGAAGGTCTGCATTAGATGAATAGAAGCTTTCAACCTCTGCCTCCCACATCACAAGCCCAGCATGAGCTGCAGAACGAGCTCTCTATTTCGGGTTGTGCTTGCCATACGGTGAGATTAAATGCCCTGAAGATGAAAGGCTTGTCTGATGTTAGTTCCCCCAGCCGAAGTGTTTGTGAGGACAGCAGGAGCTACGATAGGTGAGCTTTTTATAACCAAGTCAAATGACTCACTTAAATGGCTTATTTACTAACACACCAGAAAGAGATGTTTGTACAAACATGAGGAAACAGCCCAGTGGACACATGGCGTGTATGTAATCCAATGCTTTACTTCTGACAAGTGAAATGAATATTAACAGTGTACATAACATAGTTTACATTAATATGCTATTTAGCAGGTATTGCATTACATTTTTAGCACATTTTGGATATGGAGTAACAGAGTCTGTAATATACAAATCACTTTTACATTGGTTACCTACATTTTTATTGAAATGAATAAGACTTGAACTTAAAACATTCTTTGGCTTGCCATTCTGGTGAAAACTTCAGTCCAGTAACCGTTCATCAACTGTTCAATCTTCAGGATCATTTGTGCTGCCGGTTCTGAGGTGTGGCTTGCTGCCATATTAGCCCAAATTTATGGCATGGTTAAGGAATAACTGTGGGTCTTGGGGGCTAGAGAATCACGTGGAAAATTTCTTCTGAGAGTCTTGAACCGCAGGCATGCTGCAGCTGAGAGTGAGATGGCCAAAATGTCCTGCCACGTCTGATGAGGCCTTGGCACAAGTAAAAGCTCATTGAGTTATCAATAGTTGAGCGAATCAAAGGTTTCATGAAAATCAGTTCTGGTCTGGACATGCCAAAAATTCTTCCCAAACAGATTGAGAACACACAAACCTATTGACTTTTCACCAGTGTACATTTAAGCAAGCCGAATCTGGGTTAGTCATTTTTTAAAGGAGTAGTTCACCCAAAAACGCTGAATCAGTTCAATTTGTGCATGAATCATTAAATGGAAAGTTCACTCAAAAATAAAGATTCTGTCATTATTTACTCATCCTCAAGTTGTATCAAACCTGTATGAGTTTCTTTCTTCTGTTGAACATAAAAGAAGATATTTTGAAGAATGTGGGTAACCAAATAGTTGCTGGTCCCCATCGACTTCCACAGTACTGGAAAAAAAAATACTATAGTTAATGGGGATCAGAAACTGTTTGGTTACCCACATTCTTCATAATATCTTCTTTTGTGTTATACAGAAAAAAAGAAATTCACAGAGTGAATGCAACAACTTAAGGGTGAGTAAATGATGACAAAATGTTCATTTTTGGGTGAACTATTCCTTTAAGACTTGCATAAACTGGATAAAATGATTCACTGAAGACGCTCATTTGCAAAAATTCATGAATCATGAATTCATGACATTGTTACTTCTCTCATTAACAGACTGTAAGTAAAATCAGCAATAAAAATCTGACAACAATAGTATCATAGATTGCACTTCTTCAGACCAAATATATATAAAGTGAATCATTTATTATTGCAGAACTGTTAAAAATTGTTACATGTGTTACAAAGTAAAATAAACAAGCAACTGAAATGAATGAATGAATTATTCAATCAATCAATAAATAAAGTGAAGTGACGTGTGGCCAAGTATGGTGACCCATACTCGGAATTTGTGCTCTGATTTAACCCTCCAAGTGCAAACCCGGAGCAGTGGACAGCCATATTGCTGCGGCGCCCGGGGAGCAGTTGGCGGTTCGGTGCCTTGCTCAAGGGTCTCACCTCAGTCATGGTATTGAGGGTGGAAGAGAGCGCTGGTTATTCACTCCCCCCACCTACAATCCCTGCCGGACCAGAGACTCGAACCCGCAACCTTCAGGTTACAAGTCTGACTCTTTAACCATTAGGCCACTACTGCCCAAAACAGTGTGTAGAGATGCTGGGGATTGAACCCAGGACCTCTCTCTACCACTGAGCTACATCCCCAGATTATCACTCATATCGAGGTTCTCATTTTGAGAGCACTGATTTAGGAGCCAAAGTCAATGTAATCACTCACTCCACATAAACTGGATCCTAGATCAGAACTTCCACACTTTTTCCTAATAACCACAGCTCTGCATTTACAGCCACTTGAGTGAGAGCCATACATGGTCTGGATGCCGTCCAAGCATCAGGTCTTGCACTGGTTCTGTGCGGCACAGCCACAGAATCTCCACATACACATCTGTGAACGCTTTGAATCGGTGTGTGAATGGCTTACTCCTGCTGTAATTATTCAGTTAGCTGCAGTGACATGTGCAGTGTGGTTAAGATGGCCGCTATTATTAACCCCAGCTGAGCAGAGCCATGCTTTGTGATTTATATATTTTATCTTTCTATTTATTTTTGATTTTCAATAGTGCAGGTTTACACGGAGCGGTGAGCTGACCCTTGAAGTCAAACCCCCAACTGAGCAATATCCTCTTGTGGGATAATGGTGTTATCAAACGGAAACTAATATTACATTGAGAAGTCATCCCAAAGTTGACAAGCAAAAAGTTTATTTCAGAAACTGAGAGTTAAATGGGAAGTTCAAATCAAAAATGACATTATTTAATTACCTTTATTTTTTTTTCTGTGGAAGACAAAATGATTTTTTTTTAAACAGATTGTGGCGTTCATGTGGGTTCAACTCATAAATATGATCTTTCCACAGTGGGAAACTCTGAACTTTCTTTAAGATAAGAGTTTTAGAGTTGGGGGCTTGTCAGTGTCAACACAATAGATGCAGCATCTGTATTGATGCTAAATTTGTTGTTTAATTAATTTTTTTATTTTCATTTCAAATAAAACTTATTACATGTTACATGTCAAAATGTGACAGTATTGCGCAATTATGATAGAATATATATTGATTCAATTTAAAACTAAAACATATAAAAGCAAAAACACATTACTCATCTTGTTCCAACCAAAATGACATGAACGCACCAAACGTCTTAATTACGACTTCCCAACTCGAGAATAGTTCTCGAGTAGTTCTCTGAAGGACTTGAATGCATCATATGTGAGAAAAATATTAGGTGTGCTATTTTCAATTCAACATGTTTCCTAAATTAAATAAAACAATAAAAAAATAATAATTAAAATAATAAACTAAAGTAATTAATTTAATGATTTCTGAGTAGTCTTTAGAAAGCAAAATTAAATGGTTTAAAAATAACACTGATCAGTGCTTGAAGTGGAAAAAAATAAGTGTCAGTACTCCAATCACTTTTACACAATTAATTAATTAATGACTTTTCATAATTCCCAATGTATGTATATAATGCAGAAAGAAAGAAAGAAAGAAATTTGTCTAGAGCATTTTTAAAGGGGTCATATGATGCGAGTTCAATTTTTCCTTTCTCTTTGGAGTGTTACAAGCTCTTGGTGCATAAAGAGATCTGTAAAGTTGCAAAGACTTAAGTCTCAAATCCAAAGAGATATTCTTTATAAAAAGTTAAGACTTGTCCACGCCCTCCTAAAACGCCTCGTTTAAACACGCCCCCCACATGTCTACGTCATTGTGTGGGAAGATTTACATAACACCGCCCAAATGTTCACGCAAAGAAAGAAGGCGTAACTTTTATTCTCACTGTAGTATTGTTGCCGCCGCCACCATGTTGTGGAGATGCTGTGTGTTTCATTGTGAAAGTGAAACTACTTTGTTTGGCCTTCCAAAAGAGGACGATATCCAGCATATAGTCCAGCCCGGGGTCGTCACATGTGGTTGCCACAAGCCTCCTTCGTCGAATCCGCCGGGCACCGCTCACTCAAGCCGCTGTGTGTTTTGTTGTGAAAGCGAAAACTACTTTGTTTGGCCTTCCAAAAGGCCAATTATAGAAAACAATGTTTCTATAAAGTGGGGCAGTTCCATCTTTGCAAGGACAGTCTGACGCTTCTGACTCACAGCCTGTAAGTACGTTTTTTATATTTAAACAATTTGCCACTGATGATTCAAACGCGAGTTTGAGCAGTGTAGAGTAGCACTTGTTGTTTGTCATTTCTCCGATCACAAATGCAGACATGGTTTTATGTTTACGTGGCGCAATATGCAACACAACGCGTAAAAACACAATATAAGTCATTATAATCAGTAATTATGCCCCCACTTGATGCAACAAATGCCTCATTATAATGTGTTTTATTGGTTTTGTCTAGTCGCGCCGGGACACACGGAAACACAGTATGATAAGGGCCGTAACATTTCCGTCACACGCTTGAGATGAGCTTTGTAAAAATCTACGCGTTTCAGAAAGGCGGGGCATAGAGGAGAAACAATAATGTACATTTTGTGGAAAAGAATGTGTTTTTTGAACCTTAAACCACATAAACATTACATTACACCAAATACACAAAATAATGTTCTTTTTAGCAACATCATATGACCCCTTTAATATAAATAAGCACCAGTTAGGTTGCGATACCAAACAGGACCACAGGGAGGCGCCAAAAGACCACTAAACCTGCTGCCTTAACCTGACTGTACATGCTACTATACGGCTCCATTCAGAATAACTAAACCACTGTCCAGCGCATAATCTAAAACACCTTCAGCCGGCATTCATTATAAAACACTCATGCTTTTAAGCCAAATACGCACTAAAACAATACTGCCATCTGGACACGAGTCACTATTCTCTCCGCCATCTCTGATGAAATCGTCCATGTTTTCTTTGCATTAGCGCTGTTTTGAACTTATTACTTATTACTAATGCATTCCCAGATTCCCTTACTGGAATCTTGAACCTTCCAGAAGTTTACTGGGTAGTGTGCTTTATAGTGTCATTTCTAATCACCCAGACACTGACGCTTTGACTCAGTACCGGTGTTGGGCAACATGTCAGAAGTGCCGGTAAGCACGAAAAAGTGCTGCTACGCTAAAGGCTAAAATACTGAAGTGCCGGTACTGCGTACCGGCGCATACTACCAGGCCAGCCCACTTCAAGCACTGACACTGATATATAACAGTTGTTGAATGGAAAGAGATGAACAACAGTGGACTTTCTTTTCTCTCTGAAACATGAAAAGATATTTTGAGAAATGTCTCTGTTTTTTTTTTCATCATTAAACTGAAAGTCAATAGGCTCCACTGTAGTTTGGTTCCCAATTTTCTTCAAAATATCTTGTGTGCTCCACAGAAGACAGAAAGTCACACAGGTTTGTAAAAATATAAAGGTGAGTAAATTATGACAGAACTTTAGTTTTTTGGTTGGAGTACCCCTTTAAACAACCCACTTGAACTGCAGTTCAGCCAGAAGTAATAGTAGAGGCATCATAGCCTAAAACCCCTGAATCTGCTGATATCAGGAGAGTCACAGAGAACACAAAGAAAAGCCACAAGCGAGTTCCCACAATGTGATTAAGCTCAGAGCTCATTGTGCAATTCTAATTACAACTCATCCATAGTCAACTTTGCTAGACAACTGCAATCCTCTTGCTTACAGGGACGTAGCCATGCTGTCTAATCTCACCAGCACTATTAAAACAGCAAGATCGTATAAAAATAATTGGTAATTCAGGATGACTCGCTAGTTTGCTGTGATCACTCAGGCCACAGGAGTTGGTCTTTGTCCAGCTGTAATCTTAGAACTTGCCGTCCTTGGACAGTTCTTTCAGAGCGGATTTATTTATGAACTGCATTCTATGTTTAATGGAGCATGTAATATTCGACTCATTGAAATGCTCCCCCACCCCCCTTCTTGGATACACCATATCTATCTGAGGCTTTAAAATGAAAACCTTAAAGGCACAAAGTGTAAGACTTTCGTAATAAAATATCCAAAAACCACTTGCACATTGTTATACATTTACGTTATCCCAAAAGTTCCCAAGGATTTGTAAATCCAGAGAAATTCCAATTTTAAATAATGGCTCGTCCCGGTTCATTGTCGCCTATCAATTACATAATATTCGCGCTATCGGTTTCCGCTTGTAGAAATTATGGCAACACCCATGGACAAAAATGCTGCTGCAGTTAAACTAAATCCATTATGGCAGTCGCGAATAAAATGAAAATGAAATGAAAAGTGTTGACAGCAGCATTAAATTTAGATCTGCTCAATGTTGCACCATGAATCTTTTTCCGTGTTTTTACAGTGTTGCGCATTATAACCAATCACGCACGAGTCTGTTGAGTTTATGAACGCAGCAGCCAATCAGAGGCGTTTAGATGAGTCATCGCTGAAACACCGGAGTTTTCTTCAGTGCGTGCGCTCGCTGAGTGTATTCTCTCATCATAAACAACAAAGTGCAGATGTACGTATGATGTAAGTAGGAGATTCATTCATCAAACAGTGTATAGACAGCTTTACTGATTATAAGGGGAGTTTTTTGAGAGTGCTTAAACTCACGCTAGACTGAAGTGGCATACTGTTCTTTGACAATGTAACGTTAAATGTTCTTTGCTTGCTTTCTCTATATAATTTATTCGCTGTTTGAATAACTTTGGAAGGTACAGGTAATAAAAAAAAAAAATGTATTAATTACATCCGTGAACATGATTCGGACATCTCTGGATGGTGAAAACGACATCTCCCATCGTTCCACTCTCCTTCATAATGTCATCAAGCTTCGCCTTTGTTATTGTTTTGAAAATGCGACATCTAGCGATGAAAACTTACATATTGTGCCTTTAAGAATATGACAACATCACCAGACAAATTTACTGATCATAACTTCTGATTGTGTAATCTACTGCAATTGTTTTAATCTGTTTTGACAGAGAATCTGGATGTAGAAGAATCACAGTCCAAAGGAATACAATCCCACACAGAAATCACAGATGTCACAGATGACCACTCCTTAACAAAGCACATTATGATTTACTCAAAGAAACCACCTCTCTGTCACAAGGCACTTGCTACTTTATGAGAATATCTATTTGTTAATGCATTCTGCACTTTTTATTCAAAGTAACCCGTAAATAACACACACAGAAGCGATTAACACAACTAAATGGTTCAAAACTATCTAAGACCTTTCAATAGTTTTGACTATTACTAGCTGACTGCCTGCTTCTGTTATCTAGGGTGCTTCTGTCTCTGAAATCTAATCTCTGTCTCTGAAAATACTCAAAAAATTGGTATGTTACCAACAAAGTATCCAAAAACATACAGACAGACAAAACATCAGTATTCTAATGGTCCAAAATCAGCCATTATCTTCTGCATTCCAACACGCTTTGATAGCTGGAATACTGCCATAATCACACCATTACTTTCCACTGTTTTGCTGTGATCACCGGGTGTGTGTGGTTTTGCTTCTCATGACACACATGTAGTTTAAATATGGTAATAAAATGTGGTGCTCACTGGATGTTTTGGGACACCGGGGGAGGATTACCACTGGGAAACATGTTTTGACAGCACAGAGCCAAGACTAGTACAAACACAACACATACCGTATCCACTGCAATTTAGTCGACATCCATGAGAACAGGTTTCAATAATATTAAACGAGTTGTCAATCTTTGTTTTACACTCTGCAAAGCATTACAACCTATTAGGCTACAGCTGAATGCGTAAATTTAATTGCTGCGTCAAATGTTTACGTTACATGACAATCTGCAATGACAAGTTCACTTTTGGTCTACTTTGCATTAATAGCATCTGAAGACAATCGAGTTGAAGCGTGAAAGCGATTCGGGAAAGAAAACAAAATGACAGAAAAAATAAACAGGCACACATTGTATCCGCAAAATAGCATGCATTTGCATTTTTAAACACTGATATTAAGAAAGTCTACTGTATCATACCGAGCAGCAGTAGTTTGACTTCTCTGGATGCTTTCTCTCCGTCCTCTCGCAGGTTCCGATCAATCATCTTACTCCTCTCCATCGCTGCTTTATCTTCAACACTTAACGTGCAACCCATTTTGCGAAATGTTTATAAAACGATTAATAAGAATCTTTAATACCGAACGTTGTAGTAATTTTCCTGCAGCCTGAAGAATAACGAAGCCAGAGTAAAGGCGTTGGCAGGTTCGCACGAGGTGATCGGCCAGCGTATAAAAGCAGATGCTTCAAAACATATTAAAACGGCGGTTCTGATAACAACTTATACAGAACCGCGAACCACTGAAACTACATTGGCTGGGACAGTGCAAATGATCCAAAACCAGAAAACCAGAAACCCAGAAGAACAATATTTCCGTGACTAAAAAGTTTCCACTGGTGAGGTTCTGCGGTCTGCTGTGAACGCCAGTTTTAAGTTTTTTCACGGAAAAACGGTAACCAAGACTGTATCCAAAACATTTAGCTAAATGTCTCGAAGTGGATCACAGTTAGAGCTGTTAACGAATCGGTGTTTCAGAACGAATCTTTTAAATGAACGAATCGTTCTCGTTCACTTCCATGCACTGACTCGCATGTTTCGTTCGCTGAAGTCTCTCCCCCTTTGAAGCGCATGACTGCTTCCCTGCCTTCAAAGACTGACGCCCGAACCAACAGAATTCGACCCCGGCTTGTGAGGATGCAATCTTATTGGTTGAACCCATTGAACGAACACGCCCATTTCACTAAACGAGTCAGTTTTGAGTCTGACACGACATTCGGAGCGGCACTAATCGAGACTGATCTAAGTCAAACTTAAAGGGTTAGTTCACCCAAAAATGACAATTCTGTCATTAATTACTCACCCTCATGTCGTTCCAAACCCATAAGACCTTCGTTCATCTTCGGAACACAAATTAAGATATTGTTGATAAAATCTAAGAGCTTTCTGACCCTGCATAGACAGCAACGGAACTACCACATTCAAGGCCCAGAAAGGTAGTAAGGACATCATTAAAATAGTCCATGTGACAGCAGTGGTTCAACCTTAATTTTATGAAGCTACTTTTTGTGCACAAAGAAAACAAAATGAATGACTTTATTCAACAATTTATTCTCTTCCGCGTCAGACTTCAACGTGCATTCATGGCAGTACGACGCATGCGTGTGCCTTATTCTGCTTGCAAACAAGTCGCAGTGCATCCGGGTCCTGTGTCATATCGTCAGCAGCATTACACGCATGCGTCGTGGTACTCTCGTGGATGTGCGGTGGAGACTGGGCAGAAGAATTGTTGAATAAAGTCATTATTTTTGTTTTCTAAAAGCGGGCGTACACGGTGCGATTCTGAAGGTCGGACGTTGTGAGCTCTGACACATGTCACAATTGAGTTTATCCGAAAATTGTACGGAACACATTCGGAATAACAAATAAAAAATAGAACTGTATAATTAAACTAAAATTATTATAGACTATATGGTTTTTGTCATCTTCTGATCAGTCAACTTCAGATGGATCGCCAAATCGTCTCGTTCAACCAAACATACGCCACGAATTTAAACCGACAGCATCCGATTTTTTTTTTTTACATGTTTGAAAATTATCGGGAGGACGGAAGGTGCTCGTAACGTCTCGGATCAGCCCGTAATTCTTCTCACACGGTACGAGCCGTGACCATGCGAGCATCTGCGATTTTCTCCCGAGAGAAAAAAATCGCCTGCGAGGTCGTACGACAGCAAAAATCGCACCGTGTACGCCCGCCTTAAGTCTTCTGGTAGCTTCATAAAACTAAGGTTGAACCACTGCTGTCACATGGACTATTTTAACGATGTCCTTACTACCTTTCTGGGCCTTGAATGTGGTAGTTCCGTTGCTGTATATGCAGGGTCAGAAAGCTCGTAGATTTAATCAAAAATATCTTAATTTGTGTTCCGAAGATGAACAAACATGAGGGTTAGTAATTAATGACATAATTTTCATTTTTGGGTGAACTATCCCTTTGAGACATCTCGTTCTTGAACGAAGATTGGATTATTATTGTATAAAATGCCAGATTTTTTCAGTTAAAATGATGTAGAAGCGTTATTAAAACTTTTACTAGTACTTTGTTACTTTTTGTAACAAATGTTAATGAAATATGTTAATAAAAGTTTGTTTCGTTCTTAAAGGTTCTTTTAAGGAATCGGTTGAGTAATGATTCGCTCAAAACCCACAAAAAGGCACTCTAAAGACATACAAACTTGTGCATTGTTGCTTTGTAAAGTGATGCAGCAGGTTATGATAAGGGTCTTTTGCTCATGAACGCACTCTGTTAGCCAGAGAAATATGAGGTTCCATTTGTGCCAAAAATGAGTCGACTGCTTTATGCTTTTGTACTATACATTTGTCTTTGTCTACAGTCATTGCCTACTTGTTCAGGTAAATCAGAATATGTTGACGTGTATGTTGTCTGTTAACGTCGTCTTAATCTGTCATTCTGCCATCTTTTTCTCTGTTGTTTTTGCTGTCGTCCTTATTGTCATTTTGTTCTGTCATCTTATTCTGTTGTCCTTACTGTCATCTTATTCTGTTGTCTTTGGTCTTGTTCTGTCGTCCTTACTGTTGTCCTAATGTTGTTCTTACTGTCGTCTTGTTCTGTCGTCCTTAATATCGTCCTTACTGTCATCTTGTTCTGTCGTCTTGTTCTGTCATCATAACTCTCATCAGCGCGGTAAAGTTAGTTTTAGGTTTGATATCTCCTGCATATTTGACTAGGCTGCTTTAGGGACCGTCTGCAAATTTACCTTACATTAGAAAATGAAGTTCAATAATTAATTCAAATGAATGTTTACAGGACTATAGTAAATGCATAGAGGGCAAACTGAATAAATACATTTTGCTAATATCTCACCTTAGACAATACTTCCAATATCTCCCTTACTGTCCGTACAGTACACAAATATTTTCATGAAAAAAATTTGCTAAAAGGATGTTTTTTTTTTCATGTTACGAAGGTTGTAGTATGTTTTTAGCAACAAGACTTACCTACTACAGGTGAGATGCCAATATCTCCTTTACTGTATGTACAGTGCACAAATATGTTTAGAAAAAATACAGTAATTCACCAAAAGTTTTTTTTTCATGTTCCAAAGGTTATAGTACATTCCTAGACTGGCTTACTACAGGTGAGATTTTGCCAATGTCTCCTTTACTGTATATACAGCACACAAATATTTTATGAAAAATTACAGTAATGTAACAGTAGGTTTTTTCATGTTCCAAGCATTGTAGTATGTTCCTAGTTACAAGACTGACTTAATACAGGTGAGAGTTTGCCAATAACTCTACTGCATGTACAGTACACAAATATTTAGAAAAAAACCTACAGTTATTCACCGAAAGGGTTTAATCATGTTCCAAATGTTGTACTACAGTCCTAGTTACAATAGACTTACTACAGGTGAGATTTTGCCATATACAACCTTTGGAACATGAAAAAAAAAACTATTGGTGAATTACTATATATTTTTTTCTAAACATATTTGTGTACTGTACATAGTAGGAGATATTGGCAAAATCTCATCTGTAGTAAGTCAGTCTGGTCAGTAGGAACGTACTACAACCTCTGTAACATAAAAAAAAAGTTTTTGTGAATTACAGTATTTGTTTCTAAACATATTTGTGCACTGTACGTACAGTAAATGAGGTATCAGCAAATTTTCACCTGTCATAAGTCATTTTTGTAACTGCAAATGTACTACAGCCTTAACAACATTTAAAAAAAAACTTTGGGGATTGTACAAAATGTTTTAATTGAAATAATTGTGTACTGTACATATATGATGGGAGGTATTGGCAAAATTTCTTGTATCTAGTAACATACTACAACCTTTGTAACATAAAAAAAACTATTGGTAAATTACTGTAATTTTTTAAATAAAATATTTGTATACTGTACATACAGTAAGGGAGATATTGGCAAACTGTTGCCTGTAGTAAGTTAGTCTTGTAACTAGGTACATACTAAAAATATATTTGGAACATTTAAAAGCCTTTTTGATGAATTACAGTAGTTTTTCTAAACATATTTGTGCACTGTACATACAATAAAGGAGATATTGGCAAAATCTAACCTGTAGTAAGTCAGTCTTGTTGCTAAAACATACTACAACCTTTGTAACATAAATTATTATTTTTTTTAAATTTTTTCATGAAAATGTTTGTGTACTGTACGGACAATAAAGGAGAAATTGGAAGTATTGTCTAAGGTGAGATATTGCCAAAATATATTTAGTCAGTTTGCCCACTAGGCATTTACTATAGTCATGTAAGCATTAAATTAAATGAATTATTGGACTTCGTTTTGTACTGGCAGGTAAATTTGCAGACGGTCCCTAAAGCAGCCTAGTCAAATATGCAGCGAATATCAAACCTAAAACTACCTTTACCACACTGATGAAAGTTATGATGCCAGAACAAGACGACAGAACAAGACGACAGTAAAGACAACAGAACAAGACGACAGTAAAGACAACAGAACAAGATGACACTAAGGGTGACAGAACAATACGACAGTAAGCATGACAGAACAAGACGACAGTAAAGACATCAGAACAAGATGACAGTAAAGACAACAGAACAAGACGACAGTAAGGACGACAGAACAAGACGACAGTAAAGACGACAGTAAGGACAACAGCAAGGACAACAGAACAAGACGACAGTAAGGACGACATGTAAGATGACGTTAACAGACAACATACATGTCAACATATACTGATTTACCTGAACAAGTAGGCAATGACTGTAGACAAAGACAAATGTATAGTACAAAGCACAAAGCAGTCGACTCATTTTTGACACAAATGGAACCTCATAGAGAAATGTCACAAAAGATAAGTTACCATGGAAACACCAAGTCCCACAGTGGTTGAGAATAAAGCCTGTGTTTCTCCACTGAATCACAGTTGAGCTGAGTCTGGATTTGTTTAGTCTCACTGTGGATCCCGGACTTAAGAGCGGGAATGATCCTTTACCTGCATTCAAATGCAATATATGGATACTTTAACACAGAGGCAGGTTCCAAAATTAGCTGAACTGTTTTATACATATAGAAAATATTTTAAGTCCGTTTAAACTAGGATCCCTTAATGAATCCCTCACCCCTGTCTAAGATCACATAAAATCTCATAGGTGAAGTCACCTGTTGGCTTTATCTCTGGAATGTATCACATCCCAATATTATAGTTAGAAAATATGCATACAGATTTCAACATTTCAAACTATATGTGAGGACGCACAAACTGATCTCTAATCAGCAGAGAGGAGCAACGTCCCCCAGTGCTGCAAATGACCTCACAAAACTCTCAACACCTTCATCTCTCAGCAGAGCTAAAAGGTCAGGTTGTTTTAACTTCACCACTAGGGGCCTCCCTCTTACTTACCAAACATCAAAGTACACTGATGTGAGTCGCACTGATGTGTGTTTGTGTACATGAGTGTGTCTACATCTGTTTGTGTGTGCATGTTAGTAAATATGTGAATATATGCACACTATGTGAATGTGTGGGGAGGAGAAGAGAGCGAACAACACAATGTGAATAGGAAATGTTTCCATCAGCAGCACTGTATTTTATAATAATGGCGTTTGC